GCACCCCACTCGACGACCTATGGCCTCTGGCCTACACCTTGTGGAAGACGGACTTCTTGTCCCAAGCGACCTCCCGCGACCTTGCTGAGTTCTACTCTACAAAGGACTATGTCCCTCAAGGCAACCGCATTGATGCGCTCAACATCAGCAAGATGTACCTCGAGCTCGATCAAGTTGAGCACTCTGAGCACTACGTCGTCGACCCGACTCTGTCGGAGACCGATCGCGAAGCGCGTCTCGCTCAGATCAAGGCGCACACCACCGCCACCCAACGCGAGGTCATTACCCGTGAGACGACCAATAAACTGGCGAATCAACGCTCTGCGGCGCACACCTTCTTGGTCTCAGCCATTTCTACGAACCTCCGGCGCCTCTATCAGGCCACTACGTGTCCGTTTGAGCTCTTTGAGCACATCAAGACTCGTTTCGAGTCGAACCCCATGGACAACAACCCTAAGGTCATTGCCAGCTATCTGCGCACTCTCAAGTTCACTGATGAGAGTTGCATTGACACTCTCTCTGTGGAGCTTATTGACCTTGTCAAACGCTACCGGGTGTCTATGACGCCGCCGTCGTTCAATCCTCTGGATCCATCGGCGATCTCGTCCGTCGACTACCACAACCATATCTAGAATTACTACACTATGTGTGCAATGTCCGACACCTTTATTGGTGACAAGGAATTCTGGGAAGTTGTGACCAACTCAGTGGCCACCGCGCGCGCCGCCAACCAATCCGTTGTCGTTGCTGACGTTTGGGCCTCTCTTCGGCGTATTATTACGAACCGCCAGCAACGAGCTTCTGCTCTGGGTGACAATGGCTCTGCCGCTACCCTCCAAACGCGAACCCAGCTCGCAGCTGTCACGCATGCCGTTGCGGCTCCTGCGCCACCACCTCAAGCAATTACGCAAGCCGATGGCTCTGTTCATGTTATGAATGCCTTTACTATTCCGCGCTATGCTCACCGTGATTGTATCAAACACCCCGGCAAGTCTTTCCTTTACTGCGGCGTTACCAATCATACGCTTCCTGCGTGCCCCACCCTAAAGTCGGACTATGCCCGCAACTCTATGCGTCCTGGTTTTGACCGCGCCGTCTTTGACAAATATGGCTCTGCATCCCAGAAGAAGCGTAAACGCGATTATGTCGCTTCGTCGCATCCTATCCAACGTCCTCGTGATGACCGCGATGATCGCGATGGCCCTAGTGGCAACCAGGGCTCTAATAGCCACCATGGATGGGGACCTAGTTCCTCTAGTGGTCCTGGAAATGGCGGGTGGAACAACAATCGTTGCAACAGTCGTGACAAAAATCGTCTTTGGTTTTGCCCTCGACCACACAAGTGTTCTTCGTCGTCGTTCCTCCCCAGTGCTACCCCCTTTATCGTCCCTCTTGACAGTGGAAACCCGGTACATATGTTGCTTGATTAGTTAGTGCAGTAAGACATGCGTAGCAATAGCTCACCAAAGTGCCTCTTCTTGACACCTATTACGTACATGCAAGCTTCCTATACCGTTCTAACGTTATAGGTATAAAACGTGAGAGTTGGAATTGGCCAATGGGTAATACTATATAGTACAACTACATAGAAGTAGTAGTTATACAGAATGTGCCACTACTGTAGTATATGACATCCATTATTTTGCGAATAAGTTTTGAGAAAATATGACATTGTTGACACAGAACATACGAAAAGATCGGTCATACATTTTGGTAATGGACTCAGATAAAAAATACTATTAATAGTAGTAGTCAATAGTGATGGAATTATGTCGCGAAAACCAACTTAGCCGCATATGAACACCGTTTAATTACGTTTTTAAAGTTAAACGTGTGGGTTTAGGCAACGTTTTATATTATAACGCACTCAAACGTCAAAATGTCCTTTGTGGACAGTCGATGTATTGAGGCGTGGTTGTTGTTGTATGTATGATCGCCATTAAATGGAGAATCTTTGGCTCCGCACTGTATATCCCTCAAGGCAATACTTCATGAGAAAAATAAAAACGACAATTTGACGAAAAACGAAAGCAATTTTGAGTGCGTTATAATATAAAACGTTGCCTAAACCCACACGTTTAACTTGAAAAACGTAATTAAACGCTGTTCATATACGGCTGTCGCACGTCCAAGTTGGTTTTAGCGACATTATCCATCACTGTTGACTAGACTATCTGAGTCCAGTACCAAAATGTGCGACCAATCATGACGGATCCTTTGGTATGTTTTGTGTCAGCAATTTCGTATTTTCTCAAAACTTATTCGCAAAATATTGGATGTCATACCCGTATACTATTAATAGTGGCGCGGACTGTAGGTGGAGGGCACCATACGACTGGAAGTAATTCCTGACGAAGGCCAATCAGAACTAGTGCATGGGTCTACGAGTACTCTATTCCACATGCCGACTTCAATGTCTCATCGAGATAGGGTGGTGGATGCACCTTGGACAATTACGGTATTCCCGGTTGGATGCGTTGAACGACTTGCCCCCGCAGTCTTCGCTTCAATGGTTAACATTTTTGACCAGCTTCATTTTCCATATCGCTCTACGATGGTCAAAGTCCTCATCTCCCTCAGTGTCTTGGCCACTGCCGTAACGGCTGGCTCCGTCACGGAACTTCCCGAGTCTGTGACCAAGCTCATCGACTACGGCACACACCCATGCGAGGACTTTTACCAATATGCGTGTGGCGCGTGGTACAATAATGCTGTGATACCCCCCGACGAACCCAAAATCGATACGTCGTACTACAAGATCTTGATCGAAAACGAAGCCGTATTGAAGAAGATTTACTCTAACAACACGACCAAGCTTGGTGAGTTTTACAACTCCTGTTTGGACACGGCTACACTATCGTCGCTCGGCCTGACTCCGCTGGAGGACTCGTTCAAAGCCATTCGGTCCGCCAACACCACGTTGGACCTCCTCGTCGTGGCTGGTGAATTGGCCAAGAACGGTATCCCTGCCTTCGTGGACATCAACTCCAGCGCTGATGACAACGACTCGACCAAGAACGCCCTCTTCGGTTTCGGAGCCCCCCTGTCGCTGGATCGCTCATACTACACCACCCCTTCCAAGTGGGACACCGTCGAAGCCACCTACAAGGTGTACATTGCTGCGGTGTTGCAGCTAGCTGGCTACACTGCTGAGCAAGCGGCGACTGCCGTGCCGGTGATCATCCGTTTCGAGCAAGCTCTGGCCGGTGTCGCCCTCAGCGAGCTCGAGGAGAAGGAGGCCGTTGTGTCTCCGTATACTGCGTTGACGTACTACCAACTGGACCAGAAGTACCCGCTGCTTATCGGCTCGTGGCTCAAGGCCAACGGCTTCAACGTCCGCGATCAGTGCGGTGGGTCAAACGACTGGGTGGGGTTTTACTACTCGGCCTACTTTGACAAGACCGAAGAGTTATTGAAGAACACGACATTGGACGACCTCCGCACCATCGTGGAGTACAAGCTCATCCATGCCTCGTCGAATCACTTGACCCCTGAATTCCGCACGGCCAACTGGAACCTGTTCGGCAAGAAGATCGATGGCGAAACGGTGGAACCTTCTCGTGAAAAGTTCTGCTTGTCTGAGACCGGCAAGACCGTGAAGGATCTCTTGGGCCAATACTTCTTAGACGAGGTGTGGTCGGATGATGCAGCCAAGAAGGTCGACGAACTGGTCAAGGCCTTGACGTCGTCCTTCTCCACTAGCATTGCCACCGCCGACTGGTTGGACAACTCAACCCGCGCCAATGCGCAAACAAAGCTGTCCAAGCTTGTACACTTGGTGGGTGGCCCAGAGAAGCCGCAGCTGTACCCCACGCTGACGTTTGACTCGAAGTCGTATTTGAAGAACCAGTGGAAGGTGTCTCAAGTGGACATCGACACCAACTTGAAGCTGAACGGCCAACCTGTGGACAGGCGCAGATTTGGCGTGCCCCCCCATGTGGTGAACGCGTTCCACAGGCCCTACGCGAACCAAGTTGTGCTCCCGGCCGGCATTTTACAAAAACCATTCTTTGACAGTCAGTTTGACGCCGCCCAGAACTTTGGTGCTATCGGCGCAACCATCGGACACGAAATTACCCATGGGTACGACAACACCGGCCGCGAGTTCGATGGCGACGGAAACTTGAACCCGTTGTGGTCGGAGGCCACCAAAACTGCGTTCAAGGCGAAAGCCCAGTGCTTTATCGACCAGTACGACAAGTTTCCTGTCTGGAGTGAAGTGAATGGCGTTGTATTTGGCACAATCAGCGGCGAGATCTCTTTGGATGAAACCATTGCGGACAACGGGGGGCTCAAGACCAGTTTCCGCGCGTACCACGAGAACTTGAAGGAATTCCCGTCCCAATACACGGAAGAAGCAGGCGACAAGTTGTTCTACTTGTCGTTCGCCCAAGCCGAGTGCTCCAAGAACACGGATTACCACCTCCTCGGGTCTGTGAAGAGTACGCACCCGCCTAGTAGGATCCGCGTGACAGGGGCGTTGCAAAATGACGCTGAGTTTGCCCGTGTGTTCCAGTGCCCCACCAACTCGTACTTGAACCCGTCCAAGAAGTGCTTGTTGTGGGAATAGGGTTCGTGTCTACGAATATATATGTAGCGTTGTGCATTCGTACGGAAAAACTAAGAAGAAGAAGTAGTCCATCGCCGCCCTCGTGGCTGGGACGCCCTTTGGGGCCAACATCCAACAGGGCTATTTCGGTGAGCCTCCCTGAAATGCTTGTATTCTGGTAGATACATACATGTATTCATGGTCATATCCACAGTCAATGCAAGTACATACTTGTTAGCTTTGCTTCCCTATACCGGTACTCTCACACAGGCAGATTTTGCTGCCGCCTCAAGCTGTAAAAGAGATGAATTAGGAAGTACAGTACTGTAGCTAACCTCCTACCGTATTCCGGCGCGACTTGTAGCCGTCGCCTTCCCCTTCATAGGTTAAAGGCGGTATTATTGCCAAGACCAAGTTGTCGGTGGTCATGGAGCACGCAGGGGGAGGTAGCCAACGTGGCAGCCTTTCTCGGTGGCCATCAGACGATGAACCTTCATAACCTCCTCGAGGTTTTCACGGTCACCTTATACAGCAAGTCGAAACACGACGACAGTCAAGCTGTCGCCGCATATCTCATGGGCAGGTGCACGAGCGCGTGCCCTCACCACTTGAGGCACCAATAACGCCGAGAAATGAAACTTGATTGTGTACAGTTAACTGGATGATTATCAACCAATAGCCGATGTATAGGTCACACACAACTCCATGAGCAAAGCCCAGAATCTTCCAAACACTCCAAACGGGACTTGAAGAGAGAAATGGGTACAACTCCGATGGTAAAAATCGGGGGTACAAGTCCCGCTGGAATAGGGTAGTACACTTAGTCGTCGAATAAGACGACAGCTGACACAACTGTATTCTACGGAATTCGTAGGCCAGAACTTGACTTTTGTATGCAATCGTAGGCGCACGCACACCCGTAAGATTTCGCCATCTTTAAATCCTCTACCTCAATTTTCTTCCAAATTATATACGAATTTGTAGCAACAAAAAATTTCGTTTTTCATTTGTGAATTGACGAAATCGTAGGGAGCTGGTCCTACGATTTTCATATCCAATGAGATCTCAAGAAAATCACAAATTGTGGGACTCCAATTGACCAATTCTCTATCGTACAGGTCACATTTCAATGGCGAACGTGACTACGGAGAGACTTTTAGCAATTTCGCACTTGCTAAAAGTCTCTAATGCGTACCAGTACTGGTAGTACAGTAACGCGAGTTATGAGATTTCGAATTACTAGCCAAATTGCAAACCCCTAAGGGCGTGTTCAATGCATATCCGAGTATTTGCGGATATTTGGAAGCCGTGTATACAGCTGTATATCCAAATTTGAAATGTCGAGATATTTCAATTTATTGTATTGTAATTGGAATTTGCACGACCGCCATCGTACAGATACTGATTGGTCATAATGTTAGATTCCTAGGATATGATTGGCCAATTGGTTTAATGTGAGCGTCGACCGAGGCATGGCCCATAGAGCCTGGCGTCATGCTGCTTTCGAGTGCCAAGTCAAGGTGCATATCGCGGCTAGTTCACCTACGTGTATATATGTAGAAGTCATATATTGAAGTGCATACCACATATCTCTTCTGCGCTTACATAGAGCCTCCATTCTATGATTCATCACGGCACTGGACTGCGTTTCTGTATTTCGCATCGTTTCTGTATTTCGCATAAGGCCGCTTGCTTTCACGTAAAAGACTTAATGTTGCTCAAACTCCTACCGGTACAGTTTGCTCACTCTTGTGTGGTCACTCATCGGTAATTTAACGTTGGCGTGCATTGCGAGCTTCACGGTAAATGTCCACGAGACTGTTGTCGAACGAGTTTTCAACATCCACCTTTTGTGTAAGTATGTCGCGAGTGTTGAGAGCATTCAGTTGTAGAGTCAGCCTCCAAATCGAGTTATCGTCCACAACAACCAACTGAGGAAGGAACGAGGATAAAGAGCAAGTAGAAATGCAAAGTGTGTCAAAACTGACATGTTTGGGATGTCAATCTGCCGCCCTATTGCAGGCTCTGTGCTTTCCTGCAATACTTGTTGACAATGAAGTTAACTTATCACAACACATCGAGCTCGATATACAACCGCTGTGACCACGAACACACCAAAAAGCTTGTGATTTCGCCATACTGTATTAAGGTCTGGACAGTGCGTCTATAT